TCGGTTTTCGCCATCATACATAAGACCCCAGGAGGAGGATCCTATCAACTTTTGGGTGCAACCGGACCACACCCCCTGGCGCCAGGGGATGTGGTCGGGGCAAAATGAGATTTTTAGTGCAATTGATTCTATGGATGAACTGGAGTGAAATTTTGTGTATCCCTGATGTGCCACACCCCCTGGGCGTCAGGGGGTGTGGTCGGGGCTAAATGAGATTTTTACAAAAATTGAATCTATAGCTGAAATAGAGTGAAATTAAGTGTTCCCGAGTTGTACCACACCCCCTGTGCGCCAGGGGGTGTTGTTGGGGCAAAATGAGATTTTCAGTGAAATTAAAAAACATGGATGAAATACACTGAAATTAAGTGTTCCCCCGCTGTCGTAGGGGTGGAGTGAATCTGAAGCTACTTCCGTATGCGCGTTTGCGACGGTTTATTTGCGTGTTCAAGTATGGAAATCCACATTGTACATAGTTCCCCTTTTTTAACGAGTCACGGTTATGGGTCACCCACACAAAACCTTGCGTCTTCGAGTTGTCCGGTTATGGGTCACCCAGAGAAAACCCTCACAAGTCTGCGTATTTATGTATCTCCGATGTCCCGATGGACCACATACCACGACCATAAAAATGAATTTTTCTTTGTTCATCGTTTTGTCCCAATCTGCAAGTTTTATATGAGTCAACCACCACCACGCCTAAGATGACACAATTCCACCACCGATTGCGAGCCATACCTTCTTCTCAAGTTCCAGCCCTGCAAAATTACTGCGTCATTCGATATGTGTATTAAATTGTTCAATGTTATTCATGCAAAATCTTTGTTCATGTTTGTTTTCCGGAGTCATTTCATATTTCATTTTTCCATGAATTTTTCCTATGTATGTCCCAAACCATCTAAATTTCTACTTCAAATTGTGACTACTGAAATTTTTAGTTTGCAAACCTACACACTCTTTCAGACTATTTTTCAGGAGAAAAATTTTTTCGTGAGAGGGTAGTGTTAGGTATATGTATGCCTATGTAGATATGTATATGTAATCAGTTATGAATCTGTACATCACTCCATCTTTAACTCTCCACTAATAAATATTCTCCTCTGTCTCCTCTCACTGTGTACCACTTATTTATGTATAATCATATATACATAACAGTTGGCATTGTGCAATTGAGAAGTATATTGTTATTGATTGTCAATGCTGTCATTGAGTCCTGAAATAAAACTTTAAAAATGATTTGTTTGCATATTTAGTTCAAAGTTCAAACCTCGATTCATTTAATTGATTTTGAAGAAAAACCAATAAACATCAAAGTCAGTCTCTTTTCAGGGATGCATGTGCATGCATTTTAGTGTGGATTAACTGGCATTAGTATGCAACCAAATTTCATAAATGTGTATAACTTCGTTATCTGAACATCAGGGTCATTTCATAAGTCAGCTTATTCCTCGTGGTTTCGGAAATGGCCTTGCATCTCTCGAATATTCATGGGAATATTGAAAATTATCTGATTGAAAAGGAAAAAACCTTTAGAGGGACAAGTTTTCGTGCAAAATTCTAGGAACAAAATTGATTAACATGCTGAACGGGGCGTAGATTTTTTTAGTTTAATTGAATCAAGTCATGATACAGATACATATACTAGATAATAAACATAGCCATACAGGCCCCGTTCCATAGATCGGAGTACTCCGGGCTTGGAGTACACAGCTTTTTCTGGAGGCCGGAGTACGCGGAGGCCGGAGTACACGTGGCAGCCGGAGGCCGGAGTACGCGGAGGCCGGAGTACACGTGGCCAGCCGGAGGCCGGAGTACGCATGGCCGGCCGGAGGCCGGAGTACGGAGGCCGGAGTACGCAAAATTTCCGATCGCATAGATAGGAGAATTCCGGGCTTGGAGTACGTACTCCGGCCTCCGGAGGCCGGAGTACGCGACTTTTTCTGGATGCCGGAGTACGCGGAGGCCGGAGTACGCGTGGCCAGCCGGAGGCCGGAGTACGCGGAGGCCGGAGTACGCGTGGCCAGCCGGAGGCCGGAGTACGCGGAGGCCGGAGTACGCATGGCCGGCCGGAGGTCGGAGTGCGCGGAGGCCGGAGTACGCAAAATATCCGATCTATGCCCCGTTCTAGGCGATGTGGCGCCCTATGCAAAACGACAATGGCGCCCCTTGCGCCATCGGCGCTCGAAAACACTTTTATGTACTACACCTAAGTATCTGTATATAATCGTACACAAACTTGCATTTTACACTAATTTAATTTGCATAAATCAGCATATTTTAGATAAGTTTGATTAAATATCTTCAATTACTGAAAACATAATTGAATATTGTTAAGAAACAGAAGCCACATTAAGATTTCTAAGTTTTTGAGGCTTTGCTTATTCAAAATTTAAAACATACAACCATGGAAAAACGTAAGCTGGTTATCCCCGAGTTTGAGGGGATTAATTTCAAGTTGCTCATGCTCAGAAAATTAGCGGGCATTATTTTTTGGTTTTGCTTAATCCGCGGGATTACGAATGTAAGGGTTGATTCATAATTGATGGCACGATTTGAAAAGGCGTTCATTACGAAACGATAACTTGAAATGTTGACAACTTTGTTAATAATTGTTACAAATGCGATGCACAATATTGACCAAAATCACTTCGGCCACGTCGACCATCTAGAAGAAATTTCTCACAGGTTTTTCCAGGCCTGTTGATTTGTGCTTTTCCTGACTTTCTCCGCACAATCTTCAGGTTCGGCTCATTACGCGTCGAATTCAAAGCAGCATTTTCGTCCCTTAGGTCGTCATGAATGTAATCTTTCGCATCATGCCTACAATCTTTCAATCCCACTTGTTTGGAGAACATTATGGGCATGTTCAAATTTAGCCAGAAAACCAATTTTTTTCTCGTTGAGGTAGTCGGTTACAATTCAACCGCAATGGCAAGTGGCTTCATCCGACCAAAATCTGACTGGGTCTCCTGATGACCATTCGGTGTTTGATACGTTCTGATAAATAGAGAGATGGGGTCATGGTCCAGTCCGCTCTTAGGGGCTCTGAAATTGCTCCAATTTCGTCCTATGCTAATTAAATGTGTCAATTTTTCTGAATTTTGTTTTGGGAAATACCTTAGCTTCATATTTGACATCTGTCACACTCGTAGCAATAAAAAATTTCTGGGTGCAAACTTTTTGTGGCGTCATTGTGATGTACGCTTCGTCACAACTGGCAAGTATGTTGGATTACACTTTTTGCAAATTTAGTTGCATCCCATTTTTCTTCTTAATTTTTCCTCTTTAATCTATCTTGAGGCCTTAGTTTTTTAAATGTTGTATTCCCCTACCATTTTGCTTTAAATCGGCGAAAACTTGGTTAAGATATCTTTACCCGTTTGGCTGCTAGGTTCTCTAACGTAAAGGGCGTTCCCTGAAAATCATTGGCACTGCTTTGATGACTTTGGAGGTTGTCTGCCACACATGGTTTTGAATACTTTTTTTGAAGTCGGCTGATTTCATTGAACCAGTTTGGTGTATAACGGTAATATGAGAGATTTGGAAAATTCTCATTTTTGAGGTGGTACTGCGGCATTTTCTTGTCCAATTCGGCAGCGTTTTTGTGAAAGTGCACCACGCTCTTTGCCTGGACTTGTTTTTCTTTTTGTCTGACCATGTTCTAGTTTAATTGGCAACCTTTTTGAACTAAACCCCTAACACTACATACATCGGTTTGGCTATTACATATATGGAGCAATTAATTCATAAGAATTTCAATCTCTGTTTAAGCTGGAGTACACGAAAAACAGTGCCATCAATTATGAATCAAACCTTAGTAGAATTTCAAAATAAAATTACAGCCAATACCCGGGTTTTTAATCCTATAAATGTTACAATTTTACCATTTTAAAAATTCAATACAATTTTGCTTAGAATTCGCTGAAATTATACAAATTATTTTTTTTGAAGAGTTGATACTACAAGTTGATGCTACAAGTTTTCCTGAATCTTTAGAGGCGCAAAACACTATTTTTGTTTGATTTAAAAGATTAACAAAAATGGATTTTATAATATCCGAGCAGCTATTCTTAGCAAACGTTGTGCATATTTTTCTTGATCGGGTTAAAATTTGATAAATGCGATGAAAGTTTTCAAAAATCCCGATTATGGCTGAAAATTTATTAAAAAATTACTCCTTACATATGGGAAAAAATAGCATTCAAGCATACATATGTTGGCTTATTTTTGTGAACAATTTTAAATTAGTCCGGCGAAAATCGGAGCTAACCAGCTCGCACTGCTGCATTGTAAAGCCTTACGGCGAAATTGCAGTTTATTCCTAAAATTGAAAGCTTCGCAAGTTAAAATTTGTGAATAACTTACAAATAAAATTTTGTAGCACAGATTTCAGTGAAAGTCAGTTTTTATGTTATTTTCCACAACAAATTTTAAAATTCCGCATAGTCGTTTCTATCTAGTGTGTAGGGGCGCCTGCCGGCGCCCCTCAAAAATCTGGCGCCCCAGGCGGTTGCCTAGCTCGCCTATACCTAAAACGGGGCCTGTAGCCATACATGTGTGTAAAATATTTAAAATTTCAAGAACGATTGGTCTCTCTGTGGGAATATTTTTGAAACTGTTCCACTGATTCCGGTACATTCCTGATGTGTGTAGGTACTTCTTTCGGGGGATAATTACGCTAAGTCACTACACTCTAAATAAAATCATTACCAAATCATTACCAAAATGCACACGTATATGACTCTGCAGAAACGGTAATAATAACCACCAGCCGGTAAAGAAATTGATTGAACCCGAAGTGGTAATAAAGAACACTTTTCGGGATAAAATTAATACCGCGATGTATGACAAATGTACTACAATATGTAGTAGAATGTCTACCGCCTGGTAATAAACCATACCATTTTGTACACGGTGTCCTATTCATGCCGGTATTAATGCTTTTTATTATGTATACCCCATTATTACCAAATGTTGTGCAGATTTCCACCGAAAAGAATAGATTTTTTGTTTTTCTTTACAATAATCTTTTAATCAACTATATTTGTTGTAAAATCATTTTGAAACATACTTACATAATTATAAAATTTAAGTATAATGTTAACTATTGAGTTACATACATACATATTTACATATTTATTCTTCTGTTCCCCCTTCAAATTCCGATAAATCAACGATTTTGGATCAGTCCACATGGGTTGACGTCATCAAATAAAATGTCCTGCAGATTAAAAATTCACAATTTTTAGAAATTCTCAATACAAGAGCACATTTAAATAATCCATGAATTTTCACTCACCAGACCCTCCACTGACTTAGAATATCTTTATGAAGGTAGTAGCCTGATTATTGCGGCTGCTAAGTGTTTCTGATAGGAGGTTGTAACAGAAACTTTGAAATTTAATTGATCAAATTAAATATATTATTAAATATTAAGAAGGCTTTAATGACTCACCCTTTCACCTATATTAACTTGGCTACAAATTCATTAGCTAAAGTTGTCGACGACGTTTTATCGACGCAGTTTTTCTCATTGCACTCTGCAACTAAACGGAAAATTTTGACGCTCTCAGTGACTGCAGCGTTTACAATCTTCAAAATTGAAAATTGATCTTATATATTTATTTTTTAAATAGTTAAAAATACCGTTAACTGATTGTAACCTGAGTGAAAATATCAACATCATTTGAAATTTGGGTTCTTCTGAAACCATTATTGGACTTCGGCGACTCATCAGGATGTGTAACTAAAAATATACGATATGTTGCAGACTAAGAATAATTTAAGTTTAATAAATTACTCACCGTAAATTATTGATGAAACTTTCGTCGTCGATCTCCTCCCCCTGGTCGTCTGGCAGAAAAATCTCTGTTCGGATTTCTAACTCAAATTTTTGCTTCACTGAAAAAATAAACTTAAGATTGTTATTTACTCGTTCCTATTAAGATGGTGCTAGATCACCATCTTGATAGGGCACCTACATACATATGATAATTTGATACTTACATGTTTCCAAACATTCTATATAATTTCCAGAAGTTTTTATCAGTTTTTTACGTCGGGCAAAAACCGATTAATTTCGCCATGTTGAATTGAGTTGAGCGGAAACTAAAACTAAAAAATGCGCCACTTTGTAGCGTCTCATAATTCATACCAAATGTATTAAAATTCTTACCTCTACGGTAATAAACTACACCAAAATGTAGATCTCATCAGCACCACAACGGGAAACATTTGTACTGCACTTAAGTAAAATTATGGTAAAGACTCTTTACTAAAGAGTGTTATCTAAATTTGAAGGATATAATTACCGGCTAGTAGGGATTTATTACCAAAATTATAAAGATCACTTAAAATATTGCGGTGGAAGGCTAGTTACCTGTTTGGTATTGATGCGGTAATAATCGCGTATAATTTTTGTAGGACGCGTAATTACCAAGAGCTCGGTAAAGACGCTTATTAGGAATTCTTTACCAAGTTGCTAAGAGTGTAGGTATATAAGTGTAATACAAATAATTATTTACGAACCGTCTGAAAGAAAGTTAAATTGGGTTCGGGAAACGGCGTTAGTGAAATTATTTCTCATTAATTTACCCAGGGACAAATTATGCAATGATTTCTGCCATGTTGATCTTTTAATTAACTGCTAATTTGCAAAATGTTGTGAACCAATTAATTAGGATTTCTACCAGCGTTTCATCAAATTTGTATTTCAACTCTTGAGTATTTTAGTCTTATAGGAAGTGCACCGTTACACTTACATACGTAACACATAATTAAGTATGTGCAAAACTGATGTCAGCGTATTAGTTACAAACCGTTACATAAAATTATCAACAATTCGTTCAATATGCTAATTATGGTAAAAGGAGTGGGAAAGCTAATAATCGTCTAAAACCTGCCTAATAACCTATCTTATAACTCGCAAAAATAGTTCATAACATTATGACGCTAATAAACAAAATTACATAAACTGCTCTAATCGTAGCTTTAAAATATACTTTATTTGCATTGCATACATTTTTCAATCTTACAACAATATTATAGATATACAGACTTCTACGCAGAACTGCCAAATTACGAGTGACGTTAGTCCATCAAAATATTTGCCATCCCCCATAGCCACCTTCAAAGGTTTGCATGATTTCAGAAATTTCCTCCTCCAATCGTCCCTTCCTCCAAACCGATTAAAATTACGAACAAACTGAACTGAACTAACGTAAGGTTTACTTAACGCGCGCAGGTAGATGTGTATCACAAGAAAAAAATCCATCAACGTCATCGCAAACAGAAGTACCACAGGCAACGGCAATTTATCCCGGCACATAATAATTGCGTAAAGTGCCGAAATTTCAGCGTCCATTATGACAGAGATCACCAAAACTGTTATTGGGTTCCGCTTAACGTAATTTAATAGGTTTTTCATAACCTGAGCAGCCCTGTATTGTTCCAATTTTGTTCTACTCCAACAAAATGTGCTCAACTTTGATTGCCTGTAAATTTGAATCCAAATTGAAATTTTTCGAAAAATTCAACACATACATAAGTCGACTATTTAAAGACTACCTGCCCATTTTATTTATCCACAACTCCATCACGAGCGACGGGTACACCATGGCTACGGGGATCACCATCACGAGGAGAGAGACAAGCAGATAAAATGCATGAGCAAGAATAAATCCATTAATCAGTCGACCTGGCCAAGGCCAACTCTGGTCCATCCAACCGTTTGGGCAAGAATGAAACAAAACGCTTCCCACAGATGGAGGAGCACATGGCACAAAGACACCACTAGCAAACAGGAAAAGGATTGCGCCGGGGATGGAAAATTTCGAGGTATTGATGCATATCAGCATAGGAAGATTCACGTAATTTCGGGCACCTACAAATTCATAAATACGTTCAACAGATAAATATGTATGAACTTAATTCAAGCTAAGAATGCACATGTCAGACATGTTTCTTAACGATCTTCGTAAAATCAGCATTAAAAATTAAGTAACTAACAATAGTTGAACTACATTTGAGCATTGCTTCAGAATTTACGATTCTACCAAGGTTATATAATTTGTCAAAAACCTGCATTTTCACCATTGCTTTGTTTGATGAAAATACACCATGTCTCATGTGCTTAAATATGTGACTTAACAAACAAGTTTCCATTACCCATTGCAAGACATTTGTTCTCCATCCTGAATGAATTTTCGAGCAATTGTTTCAGCTAATTTTTCTGAAAGTACAACTCGATTTGAAACATACCCACGATGTTAATCGATGTGAAAAAGCATATTATGACTAGATTTTCCCAAACGGGGTGAGATTTTCCAAAGAAATTTTTATAAAACCAAATATTAAAGGTTAAAATGTAAAAGATAATTGCTGAGAAGGACAAGTAGTAAATTATTTTCTGGCGCAAGTTTTGAATGAGGTTGAACTCGCCCTCATTTGACCCCGGTCGGATTGGAATACAACGAGAACTAAGGGACCATTTGGCAAGCAAGGCCATAATTGGCAGGTAGGATTTATCGATTTCAGGAAATTTGAAGCGTGCAAAAAGTCGCACCATTTTGGAGAATATGCTTAAAACTTGGAAAAGGATTTGTTGCACGATATGGCAATTTATATGTACAATGTAGAAATGCGATAATGTAGAAACCACACCCATGTATTCCGATGAAGCCTCCTCAAATTTAGAAATGCGATTTTTCTTATAATGTTGAATGTATCCTGCTTAGTTGATTTCGAGCTTTATACGCACTGGTATGTGTGTGACGTATGTATGTATGGCCATATTTATTGGTGTTTCAGGTATTACACATAGGTTATTATAGGTAATTTATGTTTATGTTTTAGGTGTTTTAGGTCGTCTGAAATTGATGGTATAATTACGAAATCCAACCTTGTTCGCACAATTAAATTAACAATGCGATGGTGTGAAGTGTAACTCTCCGATTTGATTGAAATTTTCCAATTATGTGGCCCATGTCAATACAACCAACGTTTCTTGCGATGGTTGGAATTGGTCAAAATATTTGAGGTCAAGGTTGAAAAAAATGGGCGATTCTTACCAAGCAAACCCCACACCAATGCTTTTCAAAGGGAAAAATCACCCATTTATTCAACTTTGACCTCAAATATTTTGGCAAACTCCAACCATCGCACAAACTGGCTCAAGAAACGTTGGTTGTATTGACTTGAACCACGTAAGTTTGAAATATCAGCCAAATCGGAGGGTTACACTTCACACAATCTCATTGTAAGAAATGTTCAGGAATCCTTGGCACAAGGGTTATCAAAGTAAATTTTGGATGAACAATAATAATTAACAACAAACTAAAGTGCTACAATTATTTGAAGGAACATATTGATAGGCGTCGTTCGTAATATCTGTATATATGTAACCTCGTCGTTTTCAATTGTGGAATAACATATATAGAAGAAATGTTTTGAAGCCAAACATTTAAAAAAATTGGTAGTTAATCGCATTCCGAACAGACAAAGGAAACACGAATTAGATGTGCCACATATTTTCACTCCATGTAAAGGCAATATTTATACAATTATTTCTTGTATTGCTTGAACGCCTAATAGAAATTGTGCCTAAGAAATAACAATTTGTTGAATTAGTTCCATGATACTGATTTTCTCAGGACAAGCACCGATATGTTTGTGTATGATCCTAACCGGTGGATTTTGACCTATTGACCTAGTAATTTTTTACACAAACTCAAGAAAGTTATAATTGCAGCTTTATTCGTACTTAAATCAAGGGGACGCAAACCATGTTGGACCCAGATTAATTGACCAACTCTTTAGTAGCAACATTTCCCTAGGAGTAGAAGGCAAGAGGGGGAGGTTATCAACGCCGGATTTTGATGCGCTTTGAATATATGTATGTTATAATACAAAGCTTTATGAGTTTGTGGACACAGCTTAGAAATATTTCACAATGTATGTAATGTATGTAGGTATGTACTTTAGTTCTTCGAAGTATCTATCTATAACCGGTACCACGTTAATATATAGCTTTTCATTTCAGAAGTACAATATTTTGAAAAATTCGGTACGACGCTTCTTACATATGTGTACGAACAGCTTACCTATGAAATGAAAAGCTACATTTTCATGAAATAAATTTCATGACGTGTATACATTATTTATTATCATGATAACCCTTATTTTATAGCAATATAGCTTTTCGTTTCAGAAGTACGATGTATTGAAAATATCCAAATTCCAAATACGCGTATCTTGTGTTCCGTAATGATTATTAATCATGCATCATTATGCCATCATCATGTCTCAACTAATACACAATGTCTAAATAATCGGTGCGGGCCGTCCAGTCTTCTATTTCCAAGTTCAACGTCACCATTTTGGCTTAAAGACAATGGACAATCCTTATACCAAATTTTAGATGGACTGCATGATTTCGTAAAATATGTTATTTTATTAATTCAATACAGATAAGTATATAACGAAATTTATGAGGAAATGTGTAAGAAGGTATATGTAATTTTATTTTTAAAGCAACATTCAAAAGTTTCGGGAAAATTTAAAATACCTAAAGCTGCAAAAATTTGTGCTAATTTTAAAGTTTTTGGTATATTTTCATAAATATTCACACCATCCAAAAAATGTAGTATGCCAGCCAAGTAAAAAATATGAAATTCTTAAATTTGCATGCATCATCTTCATTCTTCAAATTTAATATAACAAATTGTTAAAGGATTATCGGTTATATCGGGGTAAATATAAGTCTGTGTGAAAGTACGCTTTTCCTCTCATTTCACGTTACGTGCAATAAGACTGAAGCCTTTTGCCGAGTTCTTTATGCGGAGAGGCATTAGGCACCGTGGTTCATGTCAAATCTATGAAAAATTCGAACGAAAATCTCTGGAAAACTCAGGAATTTTCCTCGATTCTTACTAGAATTTCTCATCTACAGAATACATATCCACTGCCAACTGTAGAGTTTCATGACGGTGAATAAATCCGTTACCTCTCACTTTTCCAGATTTCTTCAGCTTTGTTTTTAGTTTGTAAAATATATATGTAGAAAATTATTATGGCTCGATATGTTTATATTAGTTGAGTATGCATTTTATTTCATAAACTGAATATAGTATTGTTACTAATGTTGACAAATAAGTATGATATGTAAATACTTCATAGAATAAGTTTTGGCCAAGAAATTCAATATTCCGGACCATAGTGCATTTGGGAGTCAGTACCGCACATGAGATACTATCACATAAACAATGGTACCGGAGTTTGAAAGTGGCAAGTATGTAATGCCACTTTCCCCTTTCTTGAACCTTACATCAGTACAATAGATATGAACGTGTCAACGCAGAACTGCCAAATTACGAGTGACGTTAGTCCGTCAAAGTAATTGCCATCTCCCATAGCCACCTTCACAGGTTGGCATGATTTCAGAAATTTCCTCCTCCATTCGTCCATTCCCCCCAACCGATTAAAATTACTGACA